GACCCGAAACGTCAGCTTTCCTGCTCCTCTGATGCTGCCTGGCCTGCTGTGTTCCTCCAGCTCCACTGTGTTATCTCTGACTCCAGCATCGGCAGTTCTTACTATCTCTCTGTGGAGAGAGAAACAAAGTTCACATTTTGAGTCCCTTATGACTCATCCAAAACGGCCCACTGACCAGTTAACGTTGTTTTCCCCCTCCACCCCTGTTGGTAGCCCCGCACTTCGACATTTTTTTTGCTGTTCCAGCTATTTATGACTGATTAGATTTGTTTGGCCCATGCTAATGTTCATGTTAATTCACAAAAAGATACATGTTCATTAAGATTTCAGACGTTCACAGATCTTCATGAATTTTTCTTGGATGGGGGAGGTTTTGAGTGTCAGATATTCATGATTGATTGATTGATTTATTGATGTCACGTACCCAGATACAGTGGAAAGTGTTGTTTTGTGTGCTATACAGGCAGATCACACTATACAAATTGCATTAGGGTAGCAGAACAGACCACAGAACACAGTCCTACAGGCACAAAGAAGGTGCAGAGAGAGAAAGAGAGAGAGAGAGATCAAAATTGACACTTGAGAGGTCCATTCAAAAGTCTGATAACAGCAAGGAAGAAGCTGTTCTTGAATCTATTTGTATGTGTATTCAAACTTCTTTATCTTCTGCCTGACGGAAGTGTTTGGAAGAGAGTATACCAGGGTGTGAGGGGGGTCTTTGATTATGTTGGTTGCTTTCCTGAGGCAGCAGGAAGTATAAATGTAGTCAATGGATCGAAGTCTGGTTTGCGTGATGGACTGGCTAGTTTCTTGCAGTCTTGGGAACAGCAGTTGCCAAACCACATTGTAATGCATCCAGATAGGACGCTTTCTATAGTCCATCTATAAAAATTCGTAACAGTCCTTGTGAACATGCTGAATTTCTTTAGCCTCTTGAGGAAGTAGAGATGCTGTTGTGCTTTCTTGACCATCGCATCAACACATGCGGAACAGGACAGATTGTTGATGATCGTCACTCCCAGAAACTTTACACTCTCGACCATCTCTACCTCAGCACCATTGATACAGATGGGGGGTGCCCTACATTCTATTTTCCGAAGTCAATGACCAGTTCCTTCATTTTGCTGATATTGATCGAGAGATTGTTGTCTTTACACCATGCCACTGAGCACTCAATCTCTTTCATGTGTTCTGTCTCATCATTGTTTGAGATCCAAACTACAATGGAGGTGTCATCAGCAAACTTGTAAATGGAGTTAGAATGGAATTTGGCCGCACAGTCGTGAGTGTATAAGGAGAATAGTACGCACCAGCATTTAGGATTATGGTGAGCAATAGGAGTTGTAATTAATTAAGTAAATGCAATTAGGAAATAATTGTATTAAGTGTGGATGATGTGGTTCGGGGTTTCAACCATAATTAAATACATTTGAGCCAGAATTACAGTATTAAAGCTACAATTGTGAGATTAACGAGGATTATTTAGCAATTTTGCAGTCTGGACCATCAAATCCCCTTTGAAACATACAAAGGTTAGTTAATTTTGTAAGATCTTGAGTATGCAAGTATAGTCAGCTTTAATCAGTGACAATTCGATTAGAATAGGAAATACAACTTCACCATGCATTGGTCCTGAACTAGTTAAATTATTTAAACTGACCAGTCTGTAAAATTAAATTATGATGGGGCAAATAAAAGCGTCATTGGAAATTGTGGAAGTGAAGACATATTGTGGTGCAAACTCTGCTTTGGTACAACAAAATCTCTGACATTGTGAAATTTCATGAGAAACTTGAGTTCTCAATTGAACTTTGCAGAAATTTCATTCATAAGAAACCCTCCGGCTTTTGAAGGTACTAAGGAGAATTGTGCGTTCAGAGGATTTTACATTGTACAACTCTCAACAGTCCAATAATAGAGGAACTCTGTATACCAATACAGTGTACTTTAGCGAAGGAAACCTGCCATCCTTACCCAGTTTGGCCAAAGTGTCAATCGGCTATATATCTCTATGGCCCTGTGAAATGAACATTTTAGTGACAGTAAACTGCTGTAAATGAAAATGCAACCAGTCAGGAAGGTGCCCTCCGTATTCTCATGACAGCTAGGGAAGGGCAGTAAGTGGCAGCCATAAAAGTGATGCCCACATCCCAGAAATGAGTTTAAGAGAAGAAAAACAGTTATAAGTGTAAAGGCATTTGTCACATTATCAAGTATGTTTCTATTGCAAGCAAAGACCAGTGATCTACAAAAATAATAGGACAAAGACAAAATTATTTCTGCTACTGATATGGTGAAAAGTACGGACATAAGGCATTTCAGCTATGTACTTAATGATAGATGTAGAATTATGTGGGCTCTCTTTCTGGAGGAAAAACCCTTTTATTTTGCAAAGCTGTGAATTAAATATTGAGCCCACCCATTGCTTTGATTGGACATGGTTGTCTACATTGTTTCGTGGGAGTGAGAACAGATGCAGAACAAACACAAAGCTACAACAGAAGAATAGGGCAGTTATTCCTATATATCAATCAATTTACTTCAAATAAGACTCACACAAGTGTGCAAACATGTTTTGATGGTCTCTCTCTGTAACAGAATGCCTTGTAGTAATGAAGGCATATTTGTTTTTTAAGCTGTACTTAAAAAAGGCAAGGTTTGATAGACATTTTGAGACAAATGCACTCTCTCTGTCTGTATACAGATGCATTTTTGTGCATATTTTATTACCTACCTCATCAAATCCATTCACACCTATACTTTCTACCCTCTTCCAAAACACTTAATTTGTTGTAAGCCAATTCGTATCTGGCTTTTCACTGTATTGATTATATATTTACAATTAAGTTTAAATGTAACATGAGTATTCCATTTCTGTAAGTGAGCATTCACAAAAAGGGAGGGTGATTTAATTTCACTGTCCTATTGTTGCCCAATGTTCTTCAATTTCTAATGTTGGATCTTGTTTCAGTTTCTCAGTGGCCTTCCTGAGCTATGGACTAACAGAAGCCATTAACACCCTCCTCAGCTTGATTCTTATTTCTTTTGTGTTTTTTTTTTCGTGTGCAGCTTAACGAATGCATGAAGCAAAAATTATAGATTCTCATGAGTACAATTTCCTAATAAGATACTTACTCCATAATTTAGCAATGTTGTTTTAAGCTATTTTGTAAAAAAACTTTAACATTTTAAACTTCAATATTGTCATCTTTTCGATATTGTATTTTCGTTAGTACAATGCTTCTCAGTGTGTTTTAAAAAGAAGCTCTGGCAGCTCTGAAACAATACATGTGACTCAGAAAAATTGCTGTGACCAACCATTTAACTAATTACAAATTAACTTGGCATTTATATCACTGAATTGTTACAATATAGTAGCCTAGCAGTAATTGTTAGATATACACTATGCAATGTAATGTGATATTCCAGCATAAGGGGATTATGAATTTGAAATTTACAGACATAAATCATTCTCCAGTCAACGAACTGTAGAAATAGCATTCACATAGCTAATGATCTTATTTTGTCTTTTATCACAGGTTGTTCGTCCTTCTAATCATGCAACAATCCAGAGCATTGTCAAGGCTGTTGGGATTATCCCAGGAATTCCAGAGCCCTGCTGTGTACCCGACAAAATGAATGCCTTAAGTGTTCTCTTCTTTGATGAGAGCAAAAACGTGGTTTTAAAGGTGTATCCCAACATGTCAGTGGAAACCTGTGCCTGTAGATAGAGTTATTTATCTCAGCCAGGAAACAAAGTTATAAAGACAGGAACTATTTAATACAGTACGCTGTATTGCTGCATAACAAGTAAAAGCTGCATTGTGTCCTTTTCACTTTAAGAACTTGATACCAGTTCTGTCCCCTTCCCTCTGCAAACACCAATATGCTAAATTATGGCATTGAGTAGCTAAGTGTAGATGGGATAAACATCGGGCATCAAAACATGGAGAACTATTAGCAACACAGAAAACCCCAACCTCTGTTTACAGCACACAAATGCAACCATCATCAGATGAAGTAGTATTTGGTCTTCCACAATATTCCCTTATTCTAAAGGTAGCAAGACAAGTTTGGTGCAAATTGTGGTACTTAAGCTTTTGTGTGCTCTTATATGTAAATTAATAATAATACCAGCAATGGCAGTCTATTTAAGTGTAGATTATACTCTATTCCTGATCTCAGTGTATTGTGTATTGTGAGTTCAAATCTTTATTTGTCATTTTACTTATTTAATACTTGTTTGTATTCCTGGTAGCAAGAATGAGGTTTCCTCTTTTTTTCTGAAGAACAAAAACAGTTAAACAATTATAGGGCAAATGCCAGAAGCTCTTGTTGCTTTTTAACCTAATGCCCAATAAACTAAACATTGGCACAACTATCTGAGAAGGGAAAGGTTATTAATTTTTTTATAATCAGAGAGACATTGTGACTAGCTGCAAACTCCTTGTAAATTGTATAAAAAACATTAATTTCAAAATAAATCATTTTAAATTAACATATATCTGATATATAACAGGGAATGTAAAATGTACTAAGTCCTGAATTATGGTACTAATTTTAATATCCATAAAATTAAAATAATAAAGCTCCTGAAAAAATGAGATATTTAGACAATCTTCTATGAAGGTACTAAAGTTGATGCATGTAAGCTGGATTTGTCAAAATCACAATTATCACTAAAACAGCAAAACAAAAAGAACTCATAATTCTTTCCATGCAAATGTGAAGCTGAATGGTAGAATTGAAAATGTCCAAGAATATGTTATTAGTAACGTAATATTTCTAAGTATATGTTGTAAAATGTGCGCAGTGCCCAGAGGTCATGTTTTATAATCTTCAGTGTAACATTAATAGTACTTCAGAAATTAAAGGTTCGAAGTGTAATGAAATTGAATGCTGTCAAGAGATTATTCAACCAAGCTCCGTAGCATCTTGCAAATCTTGTTTTTAGGAAGAATATTTTTATTTCAAGGTATGTTAGTTTCTTCTCAATAAGTCTCTGTGCAAAACCTTCTTCTTTGAAGTAATGCACCATTGATTTAATTTCAGCCTCTGCCAATGTATCTTTCCTTTTGGTTCTGACAAGACAAACAGGCATGGTTTGGAGATAACTCAACCATTTTTTTTTGGTGCCCTTTCATCCTGTTGTGAGGAGCAACTCTTGACACCTTCGGTATTCCCCTCCACTCAGCATGCCAACAGTTTGACTACCACGTGGAAGACTAGAACTGTACATTTCCAAGAGGAGGACGTATTGGTGCATCTCTTACAACTGTTTGTTTTAAAGCCATCAGTCATTCTTGGTAGAAGTCTAGCCTCTTTTATAGTATCCATAGTTCACTCACTTGCACGCACTTACATTGTTGCATCTGTCCTTATTCACTTACCTGAGCCTTTCTCCTGATATGGTTATACACAGCTTTTTTTTTAGATACACAGGGATTATAAGCAAACAGTCACTTTGCAATGTGATTCAGTGAGAATTACTGTGCAGTTTTTTTGTTTTGTTTGTGCTGTCTGAAAAGCATAATGATGTCAATGAGTTTAAAGCATGACCCTAAAGGAGCATCTTCAAATATTTGTGTTCGCTTGGCACAGAACTTATTCCATGCATGGCTTAAGAAAACCAAGGAAATTATGGCATTGTGTTTATTAACTCTGCAATAAATTTTCTGAGAGTTGTATTTATAGAAATGCTCTCTCCTTTTTTATATGATAACTTGAAATAATAGAACTTTGTAGAGTCTTCATGCTTTTTGATTTCAGGACACAATTAACACTCAACACACGCTGATATTCTAATAATAGCCGTTTATATTTATATAGCACTTTTAAAGTAATAAAACATCCCATGACATTTCACAGGAGTGTTATGAAACGTGATTGAACACTAGCCGCAGTAAGCCATATAAGGATAAATGGCCAACAGCCTGGTCAAAAGTTTCAAGGATTATATTTGAGGAGGACGGAGTGATAGAGCAAGTTAGTATATTCATGTTGTAATTCTTTCATTGCCAGAAACCTGTGCAACTTGCGAGAGCTGTGGCTCAATTGGTAGCACCCTTGCCTTTTGTGTTATAAAGTTCTGGGTTTCAGCTGCTGTTCAAGGACGTAAACACAAAGATTTAAAATTATTGTGCTGTTGGAAGTGCTGACTTCCTGATATGGTTTAAAACTGCGTTCACATCAACTAACCTGAGTAGATGAATACAATCTTATGATGGCATTTTTCAAGAAGACGAGGAGAGCTATAATGCCAATATTTATCCCCCAAACAACATCAAATTTTTTTTTAAATCTGGTCTTAATTATATTGCTATTTGTGGAGGCTTACTGTGTGCAAATTGGCTGTGTGTTTCTTATATTACAGTAGTAACTATGCTTAAAGTGTACTTCATTGGCTGTAGGGAGCTATAAAATGTCTGGTGGATTTGAAGACACTTGATCTGTATAGTATTTTGATTCAGATTTTCACTTGGAAGAGTACAACCTAAATTTCTTTGTTAGAAATGTTTTGGGGGCTCCCAAGGCATCTGTCAGCCATGGTGTGCTACAAATGATTCAGGAGAAATCAGTGTTGTTTTCTCATGTTTCCTGCTCAAAGCAGGTCTCAAAAAGATGCATGTGCTTTAAGGATATTCTGTTCCAATTAATCATAATTATGACCTTTCCTCTGAGTTGTTAAATGTAGTCAATCTGAGCTGGCAATTTTTACAACCAAAAAGTTCAGCTGTTGTGCAGCTTCTTCCACACAACAGTCCTACTTGTTGTCCTTTTATATCTACCCAGTCGATTACTTAATCAATTACATCAATCACCTATGTAACTGCTCACAATATTAATATAATTAATACAATATTAATAACATAAATTAATAATAACTTAATTTATATTTTATATTATTTATTAATATATTTAATACATTATTAATATGAAGCACTTCATTCTCAAATTATTAGTTCAGATCAGCAAAAGCTTTGTCAGTAAGATAGGTATAAAACAGCATCTCAAAAGGAGGACAAGCAGCAGAGAGACAAAAGATTTAAGGAGGAATGGAGACATAAAGTTTTAATTAGGAATAAACAAGGAGCCAAAGTTGCAGGAGTGCTGAAGTGTTGTAGGGCTGTGTGAGGTGAGGGCAGGAGGAGGGTACACAAAAGTACATGCACCTGAAAAAGTAGTGAATCAAGACTTATAGTAAACTTTCACAGCACTTCCTATAATAAAATAAAACAACAAAAGTACTCCGCACAATGCTGGATAGCAGACAATGTATTAGTTGTGTTTTTCCACTTCTGAAGTTTGTCGTTTGCAAAACCATTCCTAGTTTAGAAGAAGGCCTGTCTTCTTCCAGCCTTGTTAGACCTGACCAAAACTGAACTTGTGTTTTCCTCTCTGCTGAGAATCCCACCAGACTACTTTGGAACCATTCCTGACCAGCTCCAATGAATTAAGTTATGTCAATCAGAATAATTCTAATTAAACATCCAGAATCATTTTTGTTGTTGACTAGTTCATATTCCTTCTGAATTTTAATATACACCTCTCAACTTCGTTATCCCATGAGTTTATTCCCTTACATGTGACATTTAACTCAATAGTAACATTTTTAAAACACCACATCAAAGTCTTCTCATGTAGACACAACCAGAAATCCCCAAAATTTAAGATGCTATTTGAGGTTCTTGAACATGAAATTTACAATTTCACATTTCCAGTCAGGAATTCCTATTTATTCCTGTTAAAATAATCACTGTTTCACAAATTTCTTACTTCATCTATCCTTTTTTGTTTTCCAAACCCTAATTCTGTCTAGGTTTAATAGTCAGTTAGTAATTAGTTCTCATATCTCAATTTCACAATTGAAAAATTAATAAGCATTATTTTCAAATGGTTGATTCTGTTGAAATCATGCACATACACAGCATGTAGCAATGAAGCATGACTGGAGTGTTCTGCAGTGGGTGGTTGAACCAAAATGTGTATCACGATAGGGCATTATTCAAAGTAGAGGTAATAAAATGCTTTATAACCAATGACCTTCAATCTTATAACACATTGGCAATGGAACTGTAAATCTGTTATGTCCTTCAAATTTCAGATAGTCAAACAAAATTACATTGCACTGTTCAGTCCACTGTATTTATTTGTAGTGTGAAAGTGCTGGAAATTTCAACACTCTCCATATTCAAGCTTTTTTTCTGTTGGCCCTGTCCCTCTGGGGTGCCTCTAGCAGCACAAAGGAAAAGTTTAGCCAATGATTTCTGAAGAGAGACTAATTTTGAAAATGTAGTCAAATCTCAAGTTACAAAATAAACTTGTAATATCTCAAAAGGCTTGCCTATCTCCCTTAACTGCCTCCTGGGGACATATTACTTACTGACTAATCACCGACTAAAAGAGTTGCCCTTAATATTTGAGAACTGGACCAGGCTGTCTGAAATGTTCTACTAATTGAGAAAGACAAAATTGATTTTCAGAGACCATGGAAACTGCCTTGCTCTTTATGAAGCACTGTGAATGTGTAAAGGGGCCTCATCTAAACTATTCACTTGTTATGTGTCCCTCAGGCTAATAACCTCTTCCAATCAGTGGGTTGTTCAGAAGTTTCCTCTGTTGCAATGAATACGGGTGGGGACAACTTGATTCCCTACAAGAATCCAATATTCAGTTACTTACACAAAGGAAATGGAATAGTGCAACTAGGGATGGGCAATAAATGCTGGCCAGCCAGCGACACCCACATTCCACAAATGAATTTTAAACAAGCCACTCATTCCCGTAAATGTGTTCTCCCACTCAATGGTTATCTGCATCTCAACTCCATCTTTAGGGTCATTCTGTCCACTAAAAAAGTATGAATATCACATGGACCAAGCTATAAAATGAAGTGTGCATTTGCCTAAAGGGTTTCCTTTCAGCAAGCAACATCAACTCCAATAATGTGTGGCTGACATGTGTTTTCCCATTTTACCAAAACTAATGGCGATTATGAATGTGGAACATGACTCCACTGTGCTGATGGAGACAAAGAATTGTCATTCCAGTCCAAATCTGACAGGAAATGGCTGTATCCCATTCATAAAACCAAAAATAAGACTAGTCTCTACCCCCCAGCTACCAATAGATGTCAGTACTGTAATATAATATTGAGATTCTTAACTGCACAGATGGCCTGAAGATCATGAAGCAGAGATCCTTTATTCCACCTGCCATCTGGACTGTACAAACATGAAGGGAAATTGAGGTTACACTAGGGAGAAATAAAACGTACTTACATGGAACTAGGCCTGTGGTTCACATCTGAATGAGATAGCTTTTTCTGTCCCTCTCTCCATTAGACATCTTACTGACAAAGGCACCTCCAGAGCAGGCATGATTGGCTGCTCAAACTCTCGTGCTGATGTTCTCCCTCACAGTCACCACCAGCTGCTGAAGGCTCCATTATAATAGCAAAATATAGTTTATCTTAAGCATGGTTTAATGCAAAGACACAGCAAACACATAACATGATAAGCTGGTGTCATAAAGTTTCCATAGTCCTACTGTCTTGTTAAAGAGAAATGACTGGTGGTGGTTTTACCTGAGAGTCATCACACCTCAAGTGAGGGGAGAGGTTGAAAAGGGAAGTCCTTATAGTACCCTCAGCTGATGTAGGAATTGAACCCATGCCACTGGCATCACTCTACATTACAAACCAGCCAACAGAGCTAACCAACCCCCGATCTGGACTATACTAACACATGATGAATACAATAGTTACTGCACACCACCTACTCTTTATGCTGAACTCCCCTTCTCATCAGTATGGTTTATCAGGAGTTGCCAGGCAGAGCTTATTTGATACATTACACGAGAGGCCATTTGAACATAACATAGAATTGTTATAGTATAGAGAGAGGCAATTTGGCCTGTCGTATCTGCACTGGGTCTATATGCATTTTAACTTAGTGCCATTCTCCTGCCTTTTCCCTGTAAACTCTGCACATTTTTTTTCTAATTATATAATCATCTAATGCCCTCTTTGAAGGCTTCAATTCAAATTACCTCCACTACACAACTAGGCAGTGCATTCCAGTCTCTCACTACTCAAAGTACAGAAAAGCTTTTTCTCCCTTTGTATTGAGTATAGAAGTTGGGATGTCATGTTGCAGCTGTACAGGACATTGGTGAGGCCGCATTAGGAATACTGCATCAGCTATCGGAGAGATGTTGTGAAACGTGAAAGGGTGCAGAAAAGATTTGCAAGGATGTTGCCGAGATTGGAGGGGTTGAGCTATAGGGAGAGGCTGAATAGGCTGGGGCTATTTTCCCTGGTGAGTCGAAGGCTGAGGGTGACCTGATAGAAGTTGATAAAATCATGAGAGGCATAGATAGGGTGAATAGCCGAGGTCTTTTGCCCAGAGTAGGCGAAACTATAGGGCATAGGCATAAGGTGAGCGGGGAAAGATGCAAAAGGGCCCTAAGGGGCAGCATTTTCACGCAAAGGGTGGTGCATGTATGGAACGAGCTGCCAGAGGAAGTGGTGAAGGCTGGTACAATTACAACATTTAAAATGCATCTGGATAAGTATATGAATAGGAAGTGTTTAGAGGGATACAGGCCAAATGCTAGCAAATGGGACTAGATTGATCTAGGATATCTCGTCGGCATGGATGAGTTGGACCAAAGGGTCTATTTCTGT